CACTACTACTATATATATATATATATATATATATATATACGTAATATTATTATCTTATGTATACATGAAAAAAAGCTCTAATTTACTAATTTTTTCCAAATGAGTATTATTGTACAAACCAAGAGTCTGATATGCCCACGTTTATAACGTGCATACGACTCACACGCGTTGTTTGAATAATACAAGATTAATCCTTTATTTGATGATTTCATTTTTAAGCAACAATATTTTTTGTGCACTTTTCTGGTCGTTTTTTAAATTATACTATTATACATCAATAATTTTTCAAATTTTTGCATGTATTAAATAAAGGATTAAATGTAGATCATCGTTTTTGGGCGCAACAACAGATATACTCCGTACAACCGTTCCTAAATGAATTCGCTCATGCGTCGATCGTGAATTTTTATCAATATTTTTCATTGATATATTAACTTACAAAGCTAATGAAATTTCATTCTTAAACAAATACATTAATTAATACTTATAAAAAAAAAAATAAAGAAAATATTCGTTTTAAAAACTATCATAAAATATTTATAACGCGTTCATTGTCTACATTTTTAGATCCAAGTATCACATATTTTTACAAAATTCTTATAATATCAATTTATCTAGGACGCAAATCAAAAATCACGCAAATTCTGAAAATTGAATCGCCAATAAACGTGTTAAAATATTTCTCAAATTGCGAAACTTTTGTTGGACAACATCGTATAACATGGAATCAATATCTAATCTAAACTATTTAATCCAAACTAACATTTTATTTGCTTACAAATCCCTTTACTAAACCTAATATCGATACGAATATCGATACATGTAACATTGAACTGATCGCAATTTTACTGATAATTTTCCTTGACGTTTCTTCAACAGTGGACGCGTGAACGAATCGCGGTTTTTACAAGAAAATTACATCAGCTAATTTGTGTTCATAATATAGAACGGCGCGGTTGGATGACTCGTTTCATGTGCCTTTATCGATTTACTTCTACGTATATGCCATCGTCTACGTCAACGTGATCCCAGCTACACTCTAACTAATATTAATTAGGGCTACGATACTATGTACAGAAAACGCATTGCATTGGCACAGCAAACACATGTGCGCCTGGACTGCCATCCATTGTTTCGACGCATAGCGTACATTTTAACGCACGATCTAGGTATTACTTCGTATACTACTTAGATAGTTAGTTCATTTGTCATACTCTCGTATCTTATCGCAGTGTAAATATAAATCAAACACTTTTCAATTCGATAAATGTTTCTTATCGATAAGTTTTTTTATGAATCAACGAGAATATGTTATTTTTATTTTTAAAGTTGTTAAGAACGTGGTTTCTGCTTTGCTCGCGAATTCTAAGAAAATAAAGAATTATTTGAGAAACGACAATCGCTGATTAGTCGAATTAGGACTATTTGAATAATGTGACTTGACAAGTTGTTAAACTTCGAAGTTTTTAATTTCGATTCTTTGATCAAAAGAAAATTGATCTAAAGAATTGAAAAATAGAAGATTTAACTTTTGTTTTTATTGCGTCTATTTTTAGCAATTTTAATAAAATTATGAAACTTGGAATTTTTATAATTTTTCAACAATATGTATAAATAGTCATAATTCAATAATTAGAAATTCTTTTTAATATAATTAAACCCGAGTCCTCTTGCACAATAATTGTAAAATATTATTTGTATTACACAAATAATCATAATTTTATTCTGCAAGAAGACTTTGGTATTTTTTTATAAATTGAGAATATTCTTTTTAAAAATAAATGGAGTACAGATAAAAATTAACTGATCCGTGTTCCCTTAACTCCAATCTTCAGCATTTGTCTTGATTAATTACAGAATACATAAATCAGGGTGATGTCAGTTTCTTCTTGATATAAATAGTTCTCTTATCAAACATTGTTTTTTATATTTATGACACATGAACCAAGGTCTACATACTTATCATGTACACGCTAATCGTTTTTAAAATATGAGAACGAAATAGTTAAGCACAATTTTGTTACACAAATAATGAAGAATATACATTTTTTTTTCATTTATAATTATTTAAAATTATCATCGAGATTATATTTTAATGCAATATTTCCCAATCGATGTATCACGACACAATAGTGTCGTAAAAATTTTATTAAAGAAAACTATTTTATTTATTAATATTTATAAATATCATTGGAAAAATGTGATTCACGATTGAGAAAAGTGAATCATTGCAATAATTAAAAAATCATTATTGATTTTAAATTATTGTGTCTAACAAAATTAACTGGATCTTTTATTAATATTAAAAATTATAATAAATAATAAATAAATTGATTTTGATTTAATTCTATTTTTTAAATAAATATAGCAAGTATTAAAATGTGTTATCATTTTAAGTAAAGAGATATTTTTATTTTAAAAATTATGAAATATTATATATATCGCAAAAATCGAAATAATCTTAAAAATATATAGTTAATCTAAAAAAATTGAGAGATATTGCCTTAATGGATATCTAGTGATAATTTTAAAATTATAGACAAATAATATAATAGATATTGATAATGTTTTACAAAAATGTAGATATTGCAAAATATAAATTACAGTACGTTTTAATTGATATTATAAAGATATCTATTTGTTACGATCATATTTAATTAATTTAAAATAAATTATAATGAAAAATGTCAATTGTAAAGCCTGATAAGTCCACATCGAAATAACATTTTTATTATTTTTTTTTTCAATATATCAAGTCAAAATTTGAATAACATGAATAACATTAAAAACATTCAAGTGATATGATTCATATGTTGAGTGATTCATGCTATAAAAAAAATAAGAAAAAATATGGAATAAAATTTATTTGTTCAAGATTTAATGTTTTAAAAAGTTGAATTTATATTTTATTGTTATAGCTAATGATAAGATACAATAAAATATAATTTTTATATGATATACAATTTATCTTGATGAACTTATGATTTTTACGTCATTGGAAGTATATCAAATAGTATATAATAATTATATATCATTTGACAAAGTATATTTTAACTGTCTTCCATGTGATTTTATTGAAAATTGAATTATTTAAATAACAAAAATTTTTTCTTATTTTTTCATGATCACATCACACTTGTACATAATTTTTTATAGTATTTTGCATGTACAAAAAATTATTTTTAAATTGGGCACTTATCTGAAAAAGGATTTAGAAGATAAAATAACGAATTAAATTAATTGCATTAGAATTTTCACTTCTAATTTTTTAAATACATCTTCAATATAATAAAAATTATTAATAAAAATTGTCATAGCAAAAAATATAAGATTATACATAAAGATAAAAAAAAATCATTATAAAAAAAGAAATAATAAATCTTCAAATCCTTTTTATCTCGAAAGTTTTTCAATTTGTTATTTATGTTATTCTATTTTCGAATTTATAATTAATTATAAAGGAATATCGATTCAATTTTCTTGAATTCAATGAATCCTCTCTTCCAATTGTTATTTCATTTTTATTCAAACCATCACGTAACATCAAAAAGGGAAGGGAATCATTACAATTATAGTATATAACGGAGCTACATAATATTATAAAATAAAAAAAAACGCTACTTTCACGCAGATTTCTTATTATTTAATTCTAAAAGAATTAAAAATTACGCTTAACTTTGACAAATAAGGAGAATACTTTCTAAAAAATGCATGATCAATATAAAAAAAACGTAGGACTTGCCTGGCTTTACAATCTAACTTACATTACATTCTTGGTTTGTTCTTGATTCGCAAAGTTGTAATAGCAAAAATTCGTTCAAAGATAAATTCTTTGTTATCAGAACAAATTGTGTACGAAGAAGAATACGATTGATTGATTGAGAATCATAGTGATCCTTCTGTGATATCCTTTAATTAAAAGAATTTTTAAGAAAAATTAATATAGAATTATAGTTTTTCAAATTTTAATCTTCAATAATCAATCGTTAAAAATAAGAAAAAGAATGTAACTTTAATTGCACATATGATTTCTAAAAATATCATCTCTCTAATTTTCTAGCATTCTTTTTTAATTCTAAAGATAAATTGAAGTATATTAAATTCTTCTCCTTTTAGATAAATTAAAAAACCTCTATATCCTTTGTATAGGAATTTAGAATCGCGTTTAATTGATTTCTTAAACCAAAGGATATCTCGAAAAAATTGATAAAAATTATCGAAACGTTAGATATAACGTATCGATTAGAAGAATTGTAAAAGAATTCTCCAATGCTTCGATAATATTATAAAACAACAACAAAAAAAAATATATCGAACAAACACTACGATCCCCAATCCTTCCAATTGACGCGATTTTTAACCGCTATTTGTGAACCGGGTCGGCAGTCCCGGGCCTTCTACCTGGAATGTTGCATTTATTTTACCTAATTAATGCGATCTTTTATTACGTTATATCCTAACGCTAGCGCGTGACGCGTTTCCGGTACCAAGTGTGCAAGTGAATTTTCGGTGAATCTCTCTCATCGCCCGATCAATTCGACTTTCAAATCTAGGAAATGTACAGAAAGAGAGAGGAAGAATCGAGGGGAACTACGTCGTTCTACGGAAGGGAACGTCCTCCCCCTGTCGAACGGAATAACTCGAATAGTTCCAATTTATTCGAATCGTTTGAATACTTCGTCCATCGCGCGAGAATATCGCGGGAATCCCTCGAAAACTTTTCTAGAACGAGTACGACCGATTCTCCGAGTAAGATGGCTGCACCCCTCCCTCCCTTGCGAATTCGTTTGCCAACCGGAAAACGGATTTCTTCCCTCGATCCGTGACGCAAACCGTGCGGAAGATTAGCATCGAATCGGGTTAGCGTTCGTTCGAATCAGTTTCTGCTTTTGGAATTCGAGTTTTTTCGTAGAGTCAATATTGGTATCTGTGCTTGTTTTGCCTTCTATATATATATATATAGTGATAGTTAATTCATAGCAAAATTAAAATAACTGATTTTCATTAGGCAATATTTTGGCAAGATACAATTCGTGTAAATTGAAACAGCTTACGTCCAAGTTCCTTTACCATTGGATGTAATTCGTTATCGAATACTTTAATTTTAGGGTATATATTGTGTAACAAATTGATTGCATTATATTATTGAAATTTTAATCACTCCAAAGTGTAGATTGTTGAAAAATCTAATTATTAATCTAATTATACTTGATTTCCAGATAAAGTACATTCACCATGAATAATTGATATATCATATCTCGATTTTGGAGAGTGCAAAAAATTACTAATTATAAATTTTGATCGAATTGAATCGATTCAATTTTTCAACAAATTGCATTTATCAAATACGCAGAATACCACGCAAATACCATCTTCGCGTCACGCATGACTTTCGTCGCGTTTTGAAGTCTTATCCCTTATATATTTTTAACGCGAAAAAAATTACAATCTCTCGATTCGAAACTCGAATACAATGGGTATGAACAATGAGATACACAATGCGGATAGCGTGCAAGCGTCTTAAAAATTAAATGAGATGAATTAAAAAGAAAAAAAAAANAAAAAAAAAAGAAAAACATGATCGAACAGAATCTAATGATGTAAATTCTTGAAATTTTGTAACGCGACGAAGTCAAGTTTTCAAATAATAATATGTACAATTGTCCTTACAATACGTAACTCTAATAAAACGCTTTGTATACATGTACATCCATAATATTTATATATATATATTTATATACCTCCTCGATTCGTCTAATTTAGAAATATTATAGCATATAACAATCTGCCAATAATATATATATATATATATATAAAATTATACATATATATATATTAATTTTAATTATATATATATATATAAAATTTTTCATTTCGACACAAGGTACCTAAGTTGGATGCT